AAGATAATCCTACTCAGACAACAAGGGATCACCTAAGTAAGTAAGTCCTTACTTTGGAAATAGTTGTTATACTCCAGAAGCTTTGTTTTTGTGCCAGCCACGAACTAGATTGAGTTGGTTGAGACTTGATGAGATATTAATTGAAAAACTAGAGGAAAATGTGCTGAAGGATGTCCTGAAAAACAAAGTTTTTGCAGTCTAATATACTTTTTCCATGTTTTTATGATAGAACCAATTAGGAAATGGCATTTATAACCCAGGAACAAAAATTATATTACAGTGTTATTATTAGGGCTGGTTCCTCCTTTAAGGGACGTTTGGGGAAATCCACTCTCATTTTCTCCTTTGTGGGCTTTCACCACAAAAGTCCAAGAAGAGGTAAGATCTAGCCTCCAATGGAATTCCCCAGAAATATTTAGGTATAGAGAACCAGTCTGGTGTCGCAATTTGAGTGTTGGACTGCAAGCTCTCTTCATTTAATTTCCTTTTCAAACCAAGACGAGGAAGAAGAAATAGAATTGCACAAAGTAGAATTTCGGCTTCGGCATGACCTTCAAAAGTATTACTCTCTGTTTCCAAACAACAGTCCTGAAAACATCCCAATACTCTTTTCCAAGGCACTTTCCAAGGCAAGGCGACATGGAGCACCACGTGCTCACGAAAAGCAGTTGAGGAGCTGGGATCGGCTCCTGCTTGCTTTCATGTTGAGCTGATTTTTGTACTAGGAGGGGCCTTCCCGTTACGTGCTCCCGAAGGTAACAGAAGTAACGAAAGAATGGATGAAATGAAGGAAAACAGTTCCGCACACAACCCTAATGAATATCTCATCAAGTCTCAATCAATTCAACCTATTTTGGGGCAGCCACAAAAACGCAGTTGCTGGAGGATAACAACTACTTTCAAAGTAAGTGCTGCACAATTAAACAGGAATAACACTTTCAAACCAGGAATAGAAAAATGTTCAAATTTTGTTACAAAGTTTTATCACTATCATCATCATGATGTATCATTATGTATTCTTTTAGGTGACGAAAGTTCCAGAAGTCCCAATTCTTCCATGACCACTAAAGAACTTCAGGAATACTGGAGGAATGAGAAACGCAATTGCCGGGAGGTTAAAGTCCTTTTTGAAATCCCCTCTGCCAAAATTGTAGAGAAGCCCTTCACTAAATATGTGGTAAGCCTGAGCCAATGTAAGGATTCAGCCCAAAGGCACTAGAACATGCCTGATCTTGCAAGCTAAGCAGGATCATACCTGGTCAGTACTCAATGGAGGAATAGCAAAAAATACCAGGTACATGCCAAAATCACCTCTGAGTGTTCCTTGCCTAAGAAAATCCTATGAAACTCTTGGGGTCACCATAAGTCAATAGGTAATGTGAAGGCACATATGTACAATGTAAAGACATCAGATGGCACCAGCTGCTAAAAGGTTGCTTGTTTCATGTGTTTTGGTCTTCACCTTTCAGATCTAACCCATAATTAGTATTATATATCTACTAGTAATGGGCCCGAAATTTATCCCATTAATTTGATTTACATTTCTGTTTCGTTCCGTCTTTTCGTATGGCACGAAATGGAAAGGCCCCTCCTGGAATGAAAATGCAATCAAAATGAAAGGCAGATGGGAGCGGGTACTGGTTCCAAGTCTGCTTTTCAGACCTGCGAGACCCGGGTGTGTAGGCCTGGGTACTTTGGGCCTATAAGTGAAGCCTCCCCCCACCCAAAAAAATGGGCCAACAGAAAATGAATATTTCAGCCCCCAAAACAAAAAACAAATATCTGACCCCTCAATTTCGGGAGGCTCAGACGAGAACGGATCATCCTATATTATTTGGTTTGTATGTTTTTTTTCCCTAGGTATACCAAATTTTCATCATCCAGACGGGCAGTTTTGACAGCCACAGGTCCGTGATTGGCCGACGGTATTCTGACTTTGAAAGACTGAACACGAACCTCCTGAAGGAATTCTATGATGAAATGGAAGATCTGACCTTTCCCAAAAAGACTCTGACCGGAAACTTCACTGAAGAGATCATCATTGAGAGGAAATTAGCCTTCCAGGATTATCTGCGCCTTCTGTACTCCATGGAGTGCATCCGGACATCTAAGCTGTTCATTGACTTCCTGATGAGACCAGAACTGGAGGAAGCCTACGGTTGCCTTCGAGGAGGACAATACAACAAAGCTTTAGCCGGCTTTCTGGAGGTGGTTGCCCTGCAAGAAAAACTCACCAAACACAGGCCCATCCTGTTGGTCCCGACCCTCTGCGCCATCGTCGTGTGTCACAAGGACCTCGAAGATCCAAGAAGTGCTTACGAAATTGGAGAAAAGGCTTTGCTGCGCCTTGAGAAATACTCGGGTCATCGGTACTACCTGCCCTTGTTGGAAACCATGATTTCCTTGGCCTACGAACTTGGCAAAGATTTTCTTTACTTCCAGCAGAAAAAGGAAGAACGGAAGGCCAGGAAGCGTCAGAATAAAATGGTGACACTCAAAGAACTTGCTGTTCAAGAGTACATCCACTAAGACTAGGAACTTTAGACTCTCAAATCAAATCAAGCATCAGTCACAATTTCGTAACCTTGACACCATCAGTGGCCATTTTCCCAGCTATTGCATACTTCCTCTCCATTCTAAAGGTCTATTTCCCCCAAATTCCACCAGTATTCACATTTGGGCATATTGGACTCTGATGGACTCAAATTGATTGTGTGTAGGATGACGATTTAATTCTGGCAATTGTGCTAATGTTTTACTCTTTTAGGAGCCCCTGGTGACGCAGTGGGTTAAACCCCTGTGCCGGCAGGACTGAAGACCAACAGGTCGAAGATTCAAATCTGGGGAGAGGCGGATGAGCTCCCTCTATCAACTCCAGCTCCTCATGTGGGGACATGAGAGAAACCTCCCACAAGGATGGTGAAAACATCAAATCATCCGGGCATCCCCTGGGCAGCGTCCTTGCAGACAGCCAATTCTCTCACACCAGAAGCGACTTGCAGTTTCTCAGGTCGCTCCTGACACGATTTTAAAAAAACTGTTTTTATGATGTTTTTATGATGTTTTATACTGTTTTTTTAATCTAAGATGTATATTTATGCTTTTGTTGTCAGCTGCCCTGAGTCCCTCTGCAGAGGTCAAGATAGGATGGGATATAAATGTCCTAAATAAATAAATAAATAATATTTGTGCCAAGTTTGGTCCAGATCTATTATTGTTTGAGTCCATAGTGCTCTCTGGGTGTAAGTGAAATACAACTCCAGAACTCAAGCTCAATGCCCACTAAACCCTTCCAATATTTTCTGTTGGTCATGGGAGTTCTGTGTGCCGAGTGTGATTCAATCCCTTTGTTGGTAGAGTTCAGAATGCTCTTTGATTGTAGGTGAACTATAAATCCCAGCAACGGCAATTCCCAAATGACAAAATCAAATCCCCCCCAAAACCCATCAGTATTAAATTTGGAAGTATCGGGTTTTTGTGCCAATAATAAATTAATAAATAAATTTGGTCCAGTGAATGAAAATACTTCCTGCATATCAGATATTTACATTGCAATTCTTCCTTACTTACCATATATTCCGGCATATAAGATGATTGGGTGTATAAGATGACCCCCAACTTTTCCATGGATGGAGGATGATGAACAACGATTTTAGCATGACGACTGACCATTGTAGTTATTGAATGTAATTGCTATTTTAATTGTTTTACTGTAATATGAATTATGATGTTTTATTGACTGTATGTGATATTATGGTTGGAAACCGGTCTGAGTCGCTCAAGAGAGGTGAGAAGGTCGGTATACAAAACTTTTAAATAAATAAATAAATAAAGTTTCCAGTTAAAATATAGAGTTTGGGATATACTCGCCATATAAGACTACCCCTCTTCCAACACACACCAAATTAAAAATTAAAAAACATCAGATTTGATTTCAATATGGTAATTTTCCTATTACTGTCCCTCCTTCTCTGCCTCTCAGATCTCCCACATGCRCACCTGCACCACTTCACTGCAGTCTTCAGGAGCGAGATCTGAGAGGCAGAGGAGGAGRTATAGTAATAGGATACAAGGGCAGGCCAGACAGGTAAAAGATTGGGTTTTTCTGGGCCCAGAGCCACTCTATCTCTTTTTTCCATACCCTGGGCACCCTGGACACCTGCAGCTTGCTCCRCCCTTCACTTACACCTTCCCGGTGAGGCGCCCCTTCACCTCACCATTGGGACCGCATTAAGTCCACGAATCCTGATGAATGGATTTTCTTCTACCGTACTTGTGCAGCGTCGCCCTTAATGCTTTCATACAGTCGCTGCATACGGCAGGGACACGGCCACTGCCATTTTTGAACTCCCCTCATAATATGCAGCAACCACAGATTCTCTAATCCAGATTGGAAGTTTCAGCACTCGCTCTATAAGACGACTCCCAGCATATAAGACTACTCCCGCATATAAGACAACTCCCACGTATAATACGACCCCTGACTTTTGAGAAGATTTTTTGGGGTTCAAAAGTAGTCTTATACGCCAGAATATACAGTACTTACTTAGGCAATCCCTCGTTGTCCAAGTAGGATTGTCTTCCAAGATTGGTGTCCTGGCGGTGGGTCCGTAGGTGACTGTGGAGCCCTATTCTTGATCTGCATCTTCTCCCACAGTGAGGGCATCGGTTTCCAGGTGGAAGGCGGTTTCAGTCGGGGTTGGCTTGATGCCCCTTCCTCTTGGCCCGTTTCTCTCTTTCGCCCTCCATTCGTGCTTCTTCAAATTCTACAGCACTGCTGGTCACAGCCGACCTCCAGTTGGAGCGCTCAAGGGCCAGGGCTTTCCAGTTCTTGGTGTCTGTGCAAGAGTTTTTAAGGTTGGCTTTGAGCCCATCTTTAAATCTCGTCTCCTGTTCTCCAACATTCCGTTTTCCATTCTTGAGTTCCAACCGATTTCCAATTTCCAACCATTTGTAAAGGAGTCACCACTTTGTGAGGGTTTATTAACTTGATAGCGTAGCTTATGGCTAATAACACTGATGTGGTATTTCTTCTGTGTAGCGTGACTTAACTTGGAGTAGAGCAACTGCTTTGGGAGACGGTGGTCGGGCATTCGGATAACGTGGCCGGTACAGCGGAGTTGATGATGGAGGACCGTCACTTCAATGCTGGTGGTCTTTGCTTCTTCCAGCACGCTGACATTTGTCCACCTGTCTTCCCAGGAGATTTGCAGGATTTTTCAAGATGCAACACTGATAGAATCGTTCCTACAATCCACAACAGTAGCAAAATGACAATTATTAAGTTGTAGCGAAAATAATTTTATGGTTGGAGGTCATCACAACATGAGAAACTATATTAAGGGGTCGCCGCATTAGGAGGGTTGTGAATCACTGCCTTATCAAGTCTGAGAAATAAATGTAAAGACATGTTTTGTAGCCCTATTAATCGTTTTAGCTTGTTGATTAAGTGCTTGACCACTAGATGGCACTGCTGCATTGTTTGGTTCCAACCCAGGGCTCTAGCCAGGTACCATAAAACTATGCACACTTTTGACAGAATATATATATATATATATATATATATATATATATATATGAACTTTTTAATGGCTGAAGGTTTTTTTAATGATAGAAATAAATAATTCTAAAAGTCTAATGTTTAAATTATTAATGCATTTTTTTTTAAAAAAAAGATCAATTCCATTGTGAGTTTTGGATGAGAAAGCTTATCTTTCTAGTGGTCCTTAAGGACAATTTAACATACCCCTTTATCAGGCAGCTGTTTGAGCCAGCTAGAAAGCTGAAAGAGAAAATATTCTTGCAGGCTTTTAGACCTGGTGAGTTCAAAGCCGGTGACACTGCGGCGTCTCTGTTCCTACACTTCCATTTCCTTCTGATCAAAAGGATCCAAAGTCAAATTTGGAGCTCTTTAAAGAACTATTGAATAAAGAAGGGAGGAGAGGAGCAAAACCAAAGGAACCTTTTTTTCGCATGGTCCAAACGATAGTGGAAATCTGGTGTGTGTACTCTTCCAATTCACACACTAACCGGGGTTAATACTTTGCTAATAAATCTGCACATATCTTCCTAAATGTCACAGAGGGAAAGAGAGGGATGCGTGGTCATGAAACATCAAAGTGTGACGACAATGATAAAAAGTTACACACAAAGCTAGAAGAAACCACAGCAGTTTGCTTTTGCCTGAGACTGCAGGGAAGGAGATGGCTCTACCCTTTCTCTCTCCATTCTCCTTGCTGAGATGAGGGCAAACTAAGGGTTTATCTACACCAGCATTTCTCAACCTGGGGATCAGGACCCTTTGAGGGGCCATGAGGGGGGTATCAGAGGGGTCTCAATCAGAAAACACAGTATTTCCTGTTGGTCATGGTGGTTCTGTGTGGGAAGTTTAACCCAATTCTATCATTTGGGGGTTGAGAATGCGCTTTGATTTTTATTTATTTATTTATTTATTTATTGCACTTCTACCCCGCCCTTCTCAACCCCCGAGGGGGGACTCAGGGCGGCTTACAAAAGGCACAATTCGATGCCCACACAACAATAAGGTAAAAATAAACATATGTAAACAGTAATTAAAACAATTAAAACAATCCATCATACATCAAAATCTATAAAACCAATGTAATGCTCAACGTTTGCCAGCTCAGAGTTAATAAATTCAATTCCATACTGTCAAGTCCATCAGTTGTCATCGCTAGTCCTTTGTCTGTCTGCCAGATTACCCAAAGGCCTGGTACCAAATCCATGTTTTTAATTTCCTTCTAAATGAGAGGAGGGATGTTGATGACCTAATTTCCCAGGGGAGCGAATTCCACAGGTGAGGGGCCACCACTGAGAAGGCCCTGCTCCTCGTCCCCACCAACCTCACTTGTGATATAGGTGGGGCCGAGAGCAGGGCCTCCCCAGAAGATCGTAAACTCCGAGGCAGGACGTAGAAGGAGATACGTTCGGACAGATACGCTGGGCCGGAACCATATAGGGTTTTGTAGGTCAAAACCAGCACTTTGAATTGTGCTCGGAACTGGATTGGCAGCCATGGAGCTGACATAACAGTGGGGTGGTATGCTCCCTGTATGACGCTCCGGTGAGTAATCTGGCTGCCGCCCGCTGGACTAGTTGAAGTTTCTGAACTGTCTTCAAAGGCAACCCCATGTAGAGTGTGTTGCAGTAATCTATTTGGGATGTAACAAGAGCGTGATTGTAGGCGAACTATCAATCCCAGTGTGAGGAAGCATATGATTACTGCCACCAATTTGCAACTGTTTGTAAAGGAGCCACCACTTTGTGAGGGTTGATTAACTTGATAGCGTAGCTTATGACTAATAATATTGATTTGGTCTTTCTTCTGTGTAGCATGACTTAACTTGGAAAGAAATTGTATCAGAGGCAAGGCTTTAGGAAAAGGACAGTAACAAGTTTATTGAAATGTAGAGGAAACGTGGTGGATTCAATGTTTCTCTACTCTTAGAGGCACAGATCTTCAAAGGTTACATTTATAACTTTGCTTAAACAACTCTGGAAAGGACTCTTCCTTCCACTAAACAGGATTCACTTATTTTTCTTCAAACTGGGTTTCTTTCTTTAATAGATTCCTTCACTTACAAGCTTAATCTTTCTTTATGATGTTTCTGTTACAATACAGACTCTCAACACTAACTATTGATATAAATAAGCCAACTTGACTTATTACTCAGGCTAAAAGCCCAAAGCTACCCGATTCTTACTAAGTAGAATCAGTCCTTTCCCTGTAGTTTTTAAACTACAGATCCTTTCTGGTTCTCTCTACTCAACAGAACAGCCTCTCCTACAGTTCACAGACTGTAGACTATTTCCCTGATACTCCTCCTAAAGTATCAGTCTTCTCCTGTAGTTCTCCGACTACAGACTAATGGTTTAA